TGGTATCTCATGGTATCTCTTTCTACAAGAGGTCACTGTGACCTCTTGTAGAAAGAGATACCAAAGAGGACAGAAAAGGAGAGCACTCTCGCCCCCCTTACCGCAAATTTAACAGCCCCCTCGCCGTATGCTCGGTCCAGAGATTCTTAGGTCCATGGTTTGAACGTGACGCGCACGTCCCGCGCGCGCGTATATATATACGTATAACACGAAACAATTGGTGCAACTTTACGTGCAACGGCACATTCACGGCGCCGCGCCGTAAAGCTTCTCGTAGTACTACGCGCACAAGGCGGCGATCGCGCACGCCACGGCGCGGCGAGGTTGGCAGCGCCGATTGGCTAGGCGTGACGCTAGGCGCGGAACGCGGCGAACCGGACTGAGCCGAACATGGTGCGAGGCGAAACGTGAGGCTGCTCCGCGTTTGTCCTACCAGATATCGATTGGCTCCCGGCGTGGGCAACCGCGCGCGTCATGCGGCGATCATGAACGGCGTGCCCCTGCGCGACGACGACGACGACGACGACGAGGCCCGGATCGCGAGTGCGCCGCAGCCGATTTAGCGTGAACGACAGGTAAGCACCGCGCGCGCGGACGGCGTCGCCGTCCAGTCGCCTCTCCCGCGTCGAGAGCTCGCGCGCAAACGTCCGCGCGACGTCCTCCCGAGGCTCGTGCAACGCGGCAGCACGTCGGTCCGTCCTCCTCCTCTTCCTCCTCCTCCTTCTCCTCCTCCTCCTCCTCCTTCTCCTCCTCCTCCTCCTCCTCCTCCTTCTCCCCCCCCTCCCCCTCCTCCTCCTCCTCGTCGAGCGCTCCACCGAAATACCCCCCCGGCCGATCCGTCGTCGCGCGTTCAGCGACCGAGGGGAGCACCCTGTTTCTCTCCTTGGTCGGATACACGAGAGAGCCGCGTTTAGCCAATTCATTTGGCGCGGTGAGACCTAGGCCTCGACCTCCTCGCCGCGGCCAAACGGACGGACTCGGTTAGCTGTCGACGTCACCGGGGAGGAAGCTCCGATTCTCTCCTTCCTGCTCTTTTCTCTTTTTCGGAGGACCCCTACGCGCGAATACTTTAGCAAGTCTCTCGAACGGATCTCTAAACTGTCCTCGATCGTGGGTGAATGAAATTGATCCTTGTGACTCATATCTGTAGTTGTGACATTTCATCGATACCGCGTGTGACTCATCCTTCCTGTGTAGGTTGCTCCACTTGGAACTCAGATTGCGCTATCGTGTTGTTGTTTCAGGACTGTCAACCGCGTCGCTCGACAACTTGCCACTGCAATTTCTCACTCATAATGGACCATGCGCAAAGTACAAGCGAATGTACGAATATGGAGCTGGTGAGGCAGTCGTACATTGCCCGTAATACTTTTTCTCAGGTTAGACATCTTGATTCAGAGGTATTTTAATCGAGGTGAGAATACACGATTTGTGTTCGATTCCAGGGGGCGTCGTGGAAATATCAAAAGTTCTGGCTACCGTAGACTTCCCAGTGCACAGCTGAGACAACGGAATCTGAGATGGACTCCCCGCCATCGTGTTCGCTGAGCGCTGGGCCTCTCAGTGATCTTGGTAGCAGTGGCCTGGGGGGTTCAATATCCAGCGATTCCGTTAGGGCACATCTTGCGATGGAGGTAGGTCAACGGCAATTGAAGATACCTCAACAATAAAAGGATTATACCGACGATAACTGGCACGGTATATTTTCAATTAATACACGACGTTTTGACCAGTAATACTGGTCCTTCTCAAATATCACCCATTAGATGTGACAGCAAGAAATCTACAAAAAGTTACATTATGTGAGCGAAAGTACAGAAGTTTAATTTATAAAATATAAGTACGCAACAATGTCGATAAAACTTACAGGTGATGTATCAAAGAGTACGATTGTGTAGAAGTGCATAGTCAAGATATTAAAGATACCTCTTTCGAAGCGTACGCCCTCGATCTCTGAAATTATCTTTTTTTTTAGATGCAGGAGAGCGACATAGAGAGCAAGTCTCTATCGCAAGATTCTTTCGATTATTCGGACGGCATGTGCGGCGAGAATTTTAACACCCTGAAGAAGGGCCCGGGCTGGGGTGACGCGGACGGCAAGCTGGAGGTCGAGGTGGTCGACGTGGCGATCAAGCCGCCGCCGGAATTCCAGGACAGCCCGTCGCCACCGGACTCGGAGTCCTCGTTGGCGCCGATTCTCAACTACGCGCGGCTAATGAGACGCCGTACGCCGCGCTGGATCGACGACTACGCCGAGAACATGATACAGTTAATGGTGGAGGAGGCACTGGCGATCTCCTGTCGCATCTCCTGGCCGGAGGGGCGGATCGCGCCGGTCACGAATCCGGTCTCGGTGGTGACCCGGTGCCAGCAGACCAATCCCAAGCGCATGTGGGATCTAATAACGCCGCCAGTGTGCCAGGGCGCCGCCACAATCACTATTACTCCGTACAACACGCTGAACCGACCGAACTCACGCTGCTCGCTGGCCTCCTCGCGACTGTCCAGCTCCCACAATTCCATCAACACCACCGGGCTCGGCCACAAGGCCGACGACAGCAGCTTCATCACGTCCGCGATGTCGCACGACGTGCTGACGACAAGTGAAATAAGTGACATGTACAATGTACCATTCGATTCGGACATTTATACAGTGCCGATCGACGTGGTGCGGCCGCTGCACGATCTGCGAACGCCGCAGCGGCCTAAGCGGCACCGGCATCATCGCAAGAGGCGGCGGAACGTTTCCGCGAGTTCGCAGAGCGAGTTGGAGGCGCACATCCAGCAGGCGCGTCATTACTGCGGCAAATCCCGTGCCATCACGCACGTCATCAAGTCGCAGCGTTTGTTGGCCGACGTGTGCTGTAACGACGGCAATCCCGGTGTCGGCGGCGGCGGCGGCGGCAGCGGCGGGGCGGGTAGTGGTAGCGTTAGCGGTGGTGGCAATGGCGGGGGTGGCGGTAGCGGTGGCGGTGGCGGTGGCGGTGGCAGTGGAGGCGGCAACGGTGGCAACGGCGGCGGTGGCGGTGGTGGTAGTAGTTCTAGTGCTAGTGGTGGCGGCAAACGACACAGCGTGCCGGGTACTTCTGGCCGTCACAGTGTCAGAACGTCAAACGGACATGCACACAACATCGGCGAGCCGATCCACATGACCTTGCACGAGGTGCGACAGTACCTGCAGACGTTGTACTCGAGCTCGAGCGATTCTAGCGAGAATAAGATCAAACGGGACAAGGCTCCTCTGCTGGGCCACACGCCAGTGCATCTCGCCGGGACGCCCAAGGCCCTCAGTGTAAATAATAATAATAGGTAGGTGTGTATAACCCACACAGCACAGAAAGATTGCAGGAAGATTGCAGAAATGTTACATTGCAAGATTGCAATATTGCAGCAACGTTGCGCAACATTGCTGCAACGTTGAAATGTCTGCCCTCAGAGAGATTGTAGTGCAACATTATAGCAATGTTGCAGTGCAATATTTTGGGAATAATTTGTTGTTGTACATAAGCAGAGAATTTACTAATTACATATGCATCCGGGTCTTTTTCAATACACAGCAAGCTATTGCGAAGCAACCTAAGGAGATTATGTCGCTTCACAATAGATGGAGATTGCGAGCAACACCGCACTGATCAAGTACTGAATAATTCGCGCATTATTGGTATCAACGAAAATAACATTATAAACTTTTTGAAATAGAAAATATAGTATTTTTATTACTTTTCAAACATTGCTGCAATATTGCTATCGAAAGTTTGCAATTTTATATCCCTGCAAGATTGCACTGCAATTTGCAAGATCGCAACGTTTCTGCAATGTAACTGCAACCATCTATGCTGTATGGGAATAGGCAGCGAATTTTTGTCTCCTAATTCTCTTCTATTTATTTTCAATGTCGTAAGATGTCTTGAAATATTCAAGTTGGACAAATGTTCTTGGCTACTGTATAACGATGATCTAATAATACCCTAATGCTATTAATAGGTATAACAGTAATGCGCATACCGACTCGTCCACGGACACGCCGGTGTCCAACAAAAGCACTAGTAACGGCCTGATGATCCATCACCACAACAACAACAATAACAATCACAACAACAATAACTCGAACAATGTAAAGAAGCACAAGAGAAACGCGTTCGTCGGCATCAGGCACAAGAAGGCGCGCGACGAGTCGCACAAGGAGAAGAGCGAGTCCGAGCGGGAGAAGATGAAGAAGAGTCAGCGTAATTTCTCGCTGAACCTCAAGCAAACGCTCTGTAACATCTTCCGATTTCGGCGATTGGGTTCCCCGGACCACTTTGTGGAAAAACGGAACAGCATCGTGCAGGGAGAGATTGTCGAGGAGGAGGAGGGCGTCGATTCCGACCAGCACACCAATAACAACAACACCGCTCCGTCTGAGGTGGAGCCATCCGCGCAGAAGCTGCCGTTCTTCAAGCGCGCTCTGCCACCCCTGCCCAAGAGTAACAGTCAGGTAGGTGTGGAGCAGGCGGAGGAGGCCCTTACAGCGATGGCGCCCAAGTGCGAGTCGCCGAGCTCGGTACAGCAGCAAGTCCCGCCGCCTGTCACGCGACCGGAAGAAGACGTCGCAGAGGACACGAGCATGGATTTTGCAGCCAGTATCGAGAAAGTGAAGGACGTATGTAAATTTCGGTGTTCTTCTGCTACGGGAAGGTTTTGCTAAAACCTATCCGTAATATGTGTGTTTTCTGAAATAGTACGGATGGTATTGGGGACCTATATCCGGCGAGGCGGCGGAGAAAATACTGTCCAACGAACCGGACGGCTCGTTTATCGTGCGAGACAGCAGTGACGATCATTACATTTTCTCCTTGTCGTTCAGACTCAACAGTTGCGTGCGGCACGTAAGGATAGAACACGATCAGGGTAAGTTCCGCCGTCCACGGGACTCTCTTACGAAATGTGTAAACGTGCTTTAAATTCACCTTTCTCGGTACGCAGGTAATTTTAGCTTCGGCAGCTGCACCAAGTTCAAGTCTCACACTATCGTAGACTTCATCGAGAACGCGGTCGAACACTCGCGCAGCGGTCGCTATCTCTTCTTCCTGCACCGGCGGCCAGTTTTGGGCCCGATGCGGGTGCAGCTGCTCCATCCGGTGTCGCGCTTCAAGCAGGTACAGAGCCTGCAGCACACATGCAGGTTCGTCATCCTGAAGATGGTGCGCAGGGATTTGATCCCGACCCTACCGCTGCCCCGACGGCTCATCGACTATCTCAGCACGCCCCATTATTACAGCGAGCAGCTGGCGGCCGAGCAGGACGACCGAGCCGAGTCGCCGGTCAGCTCGTCGACCGGCGAGCTGGAGAAGATCTGCTTCACGCCGCAGGGTCTCTCGTGAGGTATAGCCGTATGACTTTTCCCTCCTCCTCCGCTCCGCTCTCTGTGCAAAGGGACGCTCGCGCCGAGCGTCGCCCGCGGCGTTTAACGCAAATTTAATTCGCGGTTTAATTAACTATTCGCAACATGTAAAAATTTACATCGCCATTTGACTCGGACTTCGCCGATGTGCAGAAATTTCGGGGGGGCTGCTGGATTAAATTCCGGCTGGATATAATACGGGATACGTCTCGTCTCTAGCTGCATTAAAATACTTATGTTATACAGGGTGCTCTCGGATTAAATGGCCAAACTTGAAAGATGTATTTAGGACCTCAAAGCAAGAAAAATTTTCCTCTGGAAATGTGCTCGTAAACGTTCCGTTCACGAGATATTGACTTCTGAAGTTATGAACTGTTAGGAATGAATAATTTCGAAATAATTTAGATTTATCCTCTTTATTGCTTTTTAATAATAAAAATTTAATTAAACATTTTGTTCAAAATGATAGCCTCCAGCTTGGAGACATGCATTGCACCTAGCGATGACAGAATGAGTGGCTGACTGACACTGTGCGTCTGTAATTTCGTTACACGCCTGCGCTATCCTCCGTTTTAATGATTGAAGATCATTAACAGGCACTTCATACCAGTTTATTCGACGAAAGCATTCAACGAACTAAGTACGATGATACGACGCTTTGTTTACCATGCAAATAAAAGCCTATCAATGACCTTCGATTTCGTAAACAAAGTTCCGTCGTACTGAATGTTTTGCGATTGGTTTTTAAATCAAACGAATTATGATTTACAATTCTCGCAAAACATTTTATGGACAGATGAAGCCATATTTACCAAACAAGGAATTCTGAATCAAAGAAATAGTCATATTTCGAAATTATTCATTCCTAAAAGTTTATAACTTCAGACGTCAATATCTCTTGAACGGAACGTTTACGAGCATATTTCCAGAGGAAAATTTTTCTTGCTTTGAGGTCCTCAATACATCTTTCAAGTTTAGCCATTTAACCCGGGAGCACCCTGTAGACGCGCAATTAATTTTCTAGTTCGAGTAACTCTGTTGTTTACATGTAAAAACTCTATTCTTGCTATTTCATTGAGTTCACGTCAGCGAATAAGAGCTCAATTCCTTAGCTTGAGTGAACACACGTTAACGTAGAAAAATTCAACGTTTGCCGCTAAATTAAATTCTAGTTAACATAAAGGAATTTAATTGGCAGCTTAATTGAATTATGCCTTAATGTGCGGAAATGTAATTGACGATCGAATTAAATTTTCGTCCCGGACATGCCGGAATTTAATTCGTGACTTTATTGGATTTTTGTTATCGTCGACGTACGACTAACGATTTTTTCGCTTATGATTTCAACTTGGACGATTTATGGCGTATCGATTCGTAAAGTGAGTATTGTGATTAAACTTGAAAGTAGAGGAATATATAGAGAAATTTCCGTGTGCACCATATATCTAGAGCTGCAAGTTATGGTCGTGTCAAGCTGATTTGTTCGCCGAGGGAAAGGAATCGATTTCATTTTGTTTCGACGGAAGTCGCGATATCGCATATCGCGACGTATTCGACGTATGTGCCACGCTGACACGGGACTTTTTCAGACGACATAGTTTTCTTTCCTCGAAGATAAACGCGCGATTCCGTGCAGTTTCCGTCGCAGCTAAATGTTAAACTGTTTGCGGTGATACAACCGTCGTTAACCCCGAGGTGGCTAATCGAGGAGAGATCAGTTTCTTCTCTCGTCGAACAATTACTTGACGATTACATGTCCGTTGTTAATTTGTGCGGTACAACTTTGGAGGCAAAGAGAATAGAGGAGACGCGCCGAGACCGAGCTGAGCGTAAACAAATTCTGTATAGTCCCTTTCTAGTTCAGTTCCTTTTTATCGACTATAACGAATGGCAAGATTACATGTGACATAAACCACGCACAAAATATCCGTTTATACGTACACGTATAAGTACATATATAAATATACACATACACGTATATACTGAGGAAAGGGAGGGAGAAAGAGAGACAGAGACACACGCGCAGTGGTCGGATGAAAATTTTGCGTGCCATACTTGCCATTTTTTATTATGCAAATCAACATTGATATTTCATTGAAGATTACGTTTAGCGTTTATTCGTTGCAGCCGTGCTTCCTGTTGAACTCGATAGTAGATAGAATATTCTTATAATTCAGTTTGCGTCTTTGGAGTCGATTTAGTTGATTTAGATTGGCTAAATTGCTAGATGGTCAAATCGACAAGGTGAAGGCATGGGATAGTGCGAATCACGTAGTTTTGTAGAAATTCTTGCATTTTTCTTTTACGAATCGATTACGCGTAACCATGGAAAGTTGTCTCGATTGTAAAGACTCTTACAAGTGTATAACCAAAGGAAATTCTGGCAATATTTAAAGGGTAGCTAAATGCTTACAATGCGCAATTCGAATGTTGCATGATTTCTCGTTTAAGTAACCGACTTTAAGACTAACATTTAGTTGATAGAAAGGCAAGTAACGAAACGTTAGTGACTGGTGCTATACGAAATTATATTCTTCATTTTCGTGCGCAATAAGAATAGTCGCGCGTTCACTTTTTGTGCCCGGACAATTTTGAAGAAGCAGCGACGTGCAATAACGCGAAATTGTCCGGATTCTAAATAGATTCTAAACCGCAATTCTATTTATATCTTTATACTCTTTTAATTTCGAGTGTACATATGAGTTTTTTTTACTTTATAAACTATTTAATTATACTTTCAGAAATTATATATAAAAAAAAGTGACACAAACTTTCCCCGCAAGCTTTCTCGAAGTAGATACTCATTCCGACCAATTTTCATATTTCAACGTTTCCTAGAGCTTAACAACGTGGCATTAGTATTGTTATAGATCTTCCGAAGGGAAAACTTCCCGTTGCAATCTGTAGGCGAAAATCGCAGCAAAATGTACCTCCATTGATACAGTGACCCCCTTTTCTCGTTCTTTCAACGTTGATTGATATCGGGGGAGTGGTTTGTTGACTGATTTATTACCTCGAGGTACAAGTGAACATGATTGCGTTTGTCCAGGAAGTGTGTCGCTTGAAATTCTGTTCTTTTTCGCGCTTCGATAAATTCGCAGACGCAGATACACGTACATACATACACAAACGGACACGCGTACACGGGCAAATTTTGTACCCAGTATCCACCAGGTAGATTTTGCAATACGATTACTATTAATATTAACGAGATCGTCCAGGGGGACTGTGCGAGTCCTGCGTGGGGTTTGTAAGGCATGTGCGTATAGTTAATAATGGTACCACAATACCTCACAGTCACAGAGGGAGGTATACGTATATAGAGCAGAATTAGTAAGGTTTTATAACGAGCGTATTTACATCGGCATAAGTTGCACACAGCATACACACGACACAGATACACACGCACGCACACAACAGACGTGTGATTTCAACTATAAGGAAATTCTAGTTGTAAGGGAACGCGAGCGTCTTATTTGATAAGATTATTGTTTCAAGGGTCAGTTGCATTAACAGGCTTCCCATACAGCACAGATGGTTGCAGTTACATTGCAGGAACGTTGCAATCTTGCAGAGACCTTGCAGGGATATAAAATTGCAAACTTTCGATAGCAATATTGCAGCAATGTTTCAACAATAATGAAAATACTATAGTTTTTATTTAAAAACTTTTTCCAATTACGAGAATTTTATAATGTTATTTTCGTTGATACCAATAATGCGCGAATTATTAAGCACTTGATCAGTGCGGTGTTGCTCGCAATCTCCATCTATTGCGAAGCGACATAATCCAACAACAAATTATTCCAAAAATATTGCACCGCAACATTGCTATAATGTTGCACTGCAATCTCTCTGAGGGCGGACATTTCAACGTTGCTGCAATCCCCCAGAAATGTTGCGCAACGTTGCTGCAATATTGCAATCTTGCAATGTAACATTTCTGCAACCTTTCCGTGCTGTGTGGGTTAATTAATTGGCGCGACAGCAGATAGTAATTCCAGATGATTAGCGAATTTTTCGATTAGCCGCATTAACTTGTGTTAATTCTAAGTTTAGTGAACTGCCGCTAACTCAGTTAACTTGAATTGATTTAAATTAAACTCGATTCAATCAAATTTCAAAAACTTATCTTGATCTAAGTCAACTCAATCGATCGAGTTAATTTAATTTAAATCGATTTAAATTGATTCAAGTTGAAACTACAACTAGCGCTAACGCTTAGTGCAATCGTCTCTGAGATTTAGTTGTACCTTGATTAATTAACTCTGTAAATCATAGTCCTAGCCAGTAATGTAGATAAGAGAGAGAGAGAGAGAGAGAACGAGAGTTTATTTAATTGCAGATGTTAATCGACGTGTTTTCGTTAGCTGCAAGTTGATGCAACCGGCTCTAAGAATTAATTGTAAGAGAAACGTAGCGTTCTGCGCCAAGCGGGAGGTCTCCAAGGCTGCGGCGTGTCGAAGCTAAATATAATATTCGGAACGTATTGCCAAGTGCACTGACCGAGGTGTGACATTTTCTAAAATAATCGATCGAGATTTTAAGGGCGCGCGAATAGCGAGACTCGAGTTTTAGCGCAAAATATCGGCACGTTCACGGCCGAAGGGAGGCGCAAGTAAAGGTAGCTCAAGTTTCCGTCTGTCCGATTGTCGATTGCGTGATTAGGCGACGGGAAGTGTACGTGTCAAACGTTTTTGTATATTTGTAACATTTTCGTCGTCGTCGCGCGCGCGAGCACGCGCGGCGCCGTAAGGAGCGGTTGCTTTTGAATGTACACTTCTTCTAGCAAAATGTGATATTACTGATAAACGGACAGCCACGATACTGGACCCGTCTCCCACCGGGTCGAGCGAAACGCCGCAAACGTTAGAACGAATCGAGCGTTCATATACAGACCTGTTCCGGCACTGTTGCGTACTTTGCTCTCCGATTTTCCCCGACTAGCCCGACAACCCGAGTCCTTAAAACGCGATATCGGCGTAATCACTTTACAAGTGAAACGAAGCTTCCGATCCTGGTTGTGAAACAAAAAAAACGTGACGGATTTTCGTTCGGAGACCCGATCGAGTTCGGATGGAGATTCGACGTCGATCGGTGCTACTATCGCTTGGCACAGAATGTAAAATGCAATCCTCTCTCGTATGCCAAAGTATGCAGCTGTACCCAGAGTACAACATCTGTGTATTTTCGTTCGGTGTTAAGCATCTCGCATTACGAAGACTCTTGTGCGCGATTTTTTTTGTGAATTTATGTTTTTAGGCGGATACGTATATTCGCGAAATTTGGCACAGAAATTATTTAGAGACTTTATATATAAGAAAAGGGATCAAAGAATTTTAAGATTAACCCTGGAAGGCTAAACTCTTCTTTCCCGTGGCTGTTTATAACCGTATGCTTCTCCGAGGCACGTATTCGAGGAGAGTGAGAAGGAGAACGCGCGAGAATCTACTCGTTGGCTTAACTTTTTTACCCGATCAAAATGTTACCGTGATTAAAAAAACTTTTAGGAAATCCGACCTTTCGCGGAAAACACTCAAAAGTTGAAATCTTCTAGGATCAGAAAAGGCCGATGGAAACGTGTCTCAGAGACGTATGCACAGATAGTGTCCTAGGGTTAAAAAAAACGAGAAACGTACAAGATGTTGTACTTCAGCTGTACGAAACAGGTATATTAAAACCTTATTTACATATAATTGCCAAATGCTAGTCACAAATACTGCATTTTTAGTTGGACTTCAGTATTGTTTAATAAAATACCAATTCACGTGCGAAATCTTGTATTTATTCTTACTGGTGTTTCAATCCATGCAACAAAAAAAAGAAAGAAAGGGAGAGAAACGAGAAGGAACAAATTGCAAAAGGTCTGAAGATAAGGAGCAAACAGGTTCACTTTTCAAAACGTTGAACGAAAGTAATGGGGAACCTTTGAATTTTCGTTGGATATTTTGAGCCTTGCCCCAGATTAGCCAAATACTCCCTCGATGTTTATTCATCCAGACAGGAGCTCTTCGATAAAGCTCGACGGATAAATAAACGTGCTCGATAAAGAACCGGCGATTTCGAGAGCGTGAATTTGTCTGATCCTTGAAATCACACCTGGCAATTCGATCGCAAAGATCATCTACTGTATACGCGACAGAGGTATACTAATTTATTTCTTCTAGTCTAATTACAGGGTGTTTTGCGTAAAGCCTACTCGGAGCCATATCTGCGAGGGGACGCTAACGGTGCGAAAAAAATTAGTGCTACCGAATTCTAGCCGGATAAAGATTTCAATTCGAGAGAGTTTTAATACCCCAATTGTCTGTAAGATGAAGCGAAAGCTTTCTCCCACGCAAGTCAATCGTTCGGTTACTCGGACTGGGACTCTTTAAGTGGAACACCCTGCACCACGTCTTTGTCACCAAGTTCGATTGTTATCAGAGCGGGATGTGCACGATAATCAATCTGTTGCGGACCTCTTGATTTTGTAAATATCATACGGCAAACACACGTTCCGGAATTTCTGAAGCCTGTTCTGTGTGCCCCTCGCGTCTAGAAACATTCCATTTTGTAGTCGATAAATACGTTTAAAAAATTTCTGTAAGTTACAGTCGTACATTGTCGACAGGTTTTTTTTAAGCTGTGATTTAAGTTCTGATTCGCTTGTACAAAATGGAATATTTCCGGGCGCAAAGAGCGCATTGCAGATTAGGGTCAAGTGTAAAAGTAAGATAACCGACGGGAGAAACGTCAGTTGATCGCGGTTTTGTTCCGGCAAAGTTTTACGAGTTTTCTAAGACGATCTTTCAGAAAGAACCACTCCGCTCGTTTTCATTACACACAAATACACACGTATACACACGCACGCGCACACTTTTGTAAAATATTATAAATATATTTATTTAATCTGTATATTTCTCCTCGAATATATTAAAACACATTTATTAAGACACATTAGTTGATAATGCGTTTTCGCCGATATACATTTACACGCGAATAATGTAACACCATATGCGAATGTGATAATTACTTTAACATCGCCGTAGGGTAATTTGTGGGATCAGTTGATAATTTAAAATACTAATATATATATTATACTTAACGTCAATCACGCACCCGAACACGCGAAACGAATCCTGTCCTTCGTTATCGGTTTGTCACAGTGAAATGGTACATGTAAGCATATGAGATAATCGCGTATGCATTTGATTACCCATGTTTGTACTGCAATGTTGAAAATAAACAATTTTTTGAGATTAACACCTTTCGATTCGCGTAGCGCCAGAGACCAACGTTCCGTCTCTCCGTGCGCGAGCAATCGGCAGGGCACACGAGGTATCATTCGCACACAAGGGATTCGTTTGCTGGACAGATAAAAAATTTATTGTTTCTCTACAGGAATGCCATCGACCGACAAGAGCAGCTTCCCTTTCTTCCGGCAGAAGAGTTCTACCTTAAGGCGGAATACCCAGTGTCTTTCTCACCAGCTTCTGCGCTATCCTCTCGAATTCCCTGCGGTCCTCCCTCCACATCTTCGCGGCGTCCACATTCGCGCCGCTCTCGTCATTCGGTTCCGCCAGCATACTCACTACGCTCAGCAGTATCTTCTCCACGCTCTGCACCGGGCTCCACCTTTCGGCGCTGCTCTCGTAGCCCATCGGATCGTCACCGGGTGCGTGCAGTATACTTATGCAGACTCTGCCGTCCGCGTAGACTAGACGGGGGGGAGAAAGAGAAGTGTGTCAATGTTGATACGCAAGAATTCCTCACAGCCGGAAATACGCCTCGTCTTACTGTTGGGATGGAACATCTCGCAGGTAAATTGCATCTTTGGAGGGCTCAGCGGATAGTCCGGGGGGAAGATCAACTTGGCTGGAAACACCCCGCCTTCGAAGCATGTCCCCTCTGGCCCGCTGAAAATCCCGTCGAGAGTGACATTCAACTCACGCGAGGTAGAGCGAGGTATACGAAGACTTACGTGATGAGGGCCTCCCACTCGAAGAAGTTCTCCTCGTTGATCGGCCCGGCGATGATGCCCTCCGGCGGGTTCAAGGTTAGCTCTGCAAGATCGTCGCAGTACGGGGATTACAACGCTCCGCGGGCGGAAGGAAGAGCCTCGTTAACTAACTAGAAAGCCGATTCTCACGTTTGTACTCCGCCATGAGTCGCCTGAGTGCCGAGCCAGCCATCGTCTTGATGATGCGGCTGAAGAGCCGTCAGGTTCGTTGCGAGACGTCGGGCAGCGGGACCGAGAAGCCCCCACTCAAGGCTGCTGACCCCGAGCACTCTCAGCGGTCTCGGCACTCTCGGCAGATCCGAGTCAGCTGTTTCCCTCCTAAGACCCCTAACCTAAGTCCCCTGACCCAAGTGCCCGCGCCTGCGCCGCTCTCCTCACAGCTCGCGCATGCGCGAGCCCACGTAACCACCGCCGCGTTCCGAAACGCGACTCTGGCCCGGTTTCACCAAGGCGAGTTAATCTAATCGGTCGGTTAACTTAACAGGGTGCCAACATAAAACTTCTTTATTAACCAAGAAAATAGGTTAATAAAGAAGTTTTATGTTGGCACCCTGTTAAGTTAACGGACCGATTAGATTAACTCGCCGTGGTGAAACCGGGCCTCTCTCTGCCAGTGATGTTCCATAGGAAGGATTTTGGAAAGTTTTTGGATGCTTTCCCATACAGCACCGAAAGATTGCAGAAACATTGCATACACCCATGGAGAATGTATAAGGAGACCGAACCATAGTATAACTAGTAGGGGCACTCTCTGTCGGCACCTTTGATCTGGGCGTTCTCAATTTTCCGCCATGTTTTTGATCGCCCCAACAGTGTATCAACGGCTAAAAGTGCCTGGGCCCTTTTCAGGATCGTATCCAGGAAAGGCGCGTACGAATTAGCGTACATTATTTATTGTAAATGGAAATGGCCTATGAAAAAAATGTTCTAATAAAGGTAATTAATGTAATTACTTGCTCCAACGTATAAAAGTATTAACGCGTCAACACTGCAAATTTTTCAATGTCACACCGACTTTGCACTAACACACGTACAAAAATCCTGTGATTGGTCATAACTAAAACATGTCGGATGCGCAGTACGGATCGGCGCGAACGTGAAACAAAAGAGCGAGTGCCCATACTGGTTATACTGTG